TTAGGAATTGTAGAAAAAAATAAATGGAGAATTTTAAAGAAAAATTGGAAAACTTCCTCATAAATTAAGAAAAAAAACTTGAGATTTTCCCCTCTAGTTAAAAAAAAGACTTCAAAGTTTATGCAGAATAATTTAAAATTATTAAGATAACTAGTTACTTATTGGTAATTGATCTGATGATAATTATTAATTGGTAATATGGTAAAAGTGATAACTAATGAATTTTTTTTAAATAATATAATCTTTATAACATTAATTCACATATTCTTATTCTATGTCGTATAACTTAATGCAAAGTATTATCTAATATCCGCCTTTATGTGGAGATTAATTAGTATTAACAAAATTTTGGTAAACTTATTTCGAATAATGTTTGCGTTAAGTTTGCTGAATTTGGCAATCAAAATATCCTAAGTGGGTGTTTCCATGGAATGTAATATTATTGAACTTCTTTAATATTAATGTAATATTCATGTTTCCTCAACAAAAAAAATTCCTCCAACCGCCAATTAATGTTAGAATTTGCACCACAAACTTGAACGTTATTTACCCTAAAAAACGTGGTAACAATTAAATTTGTATGTGATTTTAAGAATATATGGATTAATTCAATACAAGTAATTAATAGCGTTAGATTAAACAAATGAAAAACGTAATAGATGACCAAACCAATTATGAGGGTGATTCCGAGCACGGGTTGATGGCTGGATGAAAACCTGCCCTTGATTCCAAGCTTATATTTATGAAGAACTTAAGAACAAGAATAAGAACTTTGAACAACAAAGGAAATTGAAATAAATTGTCTTGATATGCGTGTTACAATCTGTCTATGAATAATAAGCTTTTCCCTTTATATAGTAGGGAGTTTTACCCTAAGTACAATTCTAGAAAAGGTAAAAATCTTCCGTTTCGCCAATCACTGATTTTTTCTACCAATAAGGGCCGAGATTCACGTCGTGATATCCGGTTAGGCACGGACATCACGCCCTTGTTAGTCGTGTGCGGTTGTTGTAACGCTCTCCGGAGTCTCAATCCTCAAATGGGACCTCGAGGATATGGCCCTGAATATCCCCGAGTGCAGGTGGTTTGCCCGAGCCCCTCATCGCTCTGACTCCGACCCATTACGATCACGTACATCTCGTTTGGCTCACCGGGAAATCAAGTCATGTAGCGGGCTCGATTTTAACCGTATACAGATAGTCCCTTCGTTTTCTCAAAGAGTAGTATTGCCGAAACAATAGGAAACAACAGATAACTCCAGTTTAAGAGTGTCTAACGGGCCGGGTCAACCCGTTCGGGACCGCCCAAACGATTGAAATCGGAACCGGCCCAGACCGGTACAAATGGGGCGGGTGGGCTGGGTTAATGGGTAAGGGGTGGTCTGTTCACCTTCCTTCAACCGGGTAACCGGACGGGTCAAACCCGGTCAACGAGATTTACTGTAGAACCGTTAACCGGCCCAGACCGGTTAACGGCTAGTTGTTTCAATTATTTTTTTTTAAAATGATTGTTACCGTTGGCAACGGTCAACTGGGCTAAGGGTCGTTGCCCAACGACTGTTTTGCACAAATAGCCTTTTTTGGCCATCTTTTTTTTAATTAACACTTTTGTAATTACTAATTTAGCCATTTGAAAAACTATAAATACACCCCCCCCTCCCCCTCTCTTTTTCATATCTTCACTCATCTCTTATTTCTCAAACTCATATCTCAATTATCATTCTCTCATTCTTCACCTAAAGTGCAATCAAGTATTTGGCTCTCATTTTTTTGGAATTTAATTTATCGTGTTATTTATTATTTGAAGTTTGAAGTTTGAATAATTGACGTTTCTTCGTGGTAACATTGGATTTGCGAAATCATCAAGTGTTCAATTTATTGCCGAATTCGGTGCACTCCCTCCAACTCTTTCTCTTATTTACTATTTTATTTGCATATTTAATTTTTGCTAGTAGTTAAATTTTTACAATATATTTAATGCTGCAAAAAAGTTTATAATAAGGTTACTAATCGGAGAAATAGAAAAGAGGTACACTTCAGCATCTGG